ATAATAAAAGAATAATAATAATAGTAAAAAAAAAAAAAAAGGAAGAAAAAACCATCGTGTCATTGTCTCATCCCTGTGGCCTTGCTGTGAGGGATCCGTCTCGAACCAGGTGATAACCTGATAGACTTTATCTTGTCTTTTCTGGGCCTCCCTGAAGCCTGCCAACACTTCGGCTGGCTGTTAGGCATTTTAAATATCCCCCATGAGCCCTAACCTTACCCCTTTTCTCTTCTTGTCATCTGGAATGTCTCAGAGCTGTCAGAGGCTTGTTGCTTATTGATGTTTCCGTGTGTTTTATGTCTTTTCTGAGATATGACAGCCCCTGACACAGTGCTGATTTCAATCAGCCGGCTTCTGGAGAGGCCTAAGATTTTGTCCTCGCGCGGTCCCAGCCGCCAGCGCACTTCAGAGGCCTCCATCTAATGAAAATGTTTCAGCAGGCGGAATAAAGGCCTGCTGCTCAACAAACAGCAGCTGATGAATTCACAAGACAAAAAAAAAAAAAAAAAAAAAAAAAAAAAAAAAAAAAAAAAAAAAAAAAAGAAAAAAAAAAAAGAGGAGGAAACCCTCCCCCCCCCAGCCCTCTGCCTTTGTTATAAGAAAAGCAAGAGGAGAGAGTGACCTCCCGAGCCAAAGGTTTCGACACTGAATCAAATCCCTTTAGGCCTGAACTGGCAGGCTGGGCCCGGCGTTGGATTACTTTATCACATCTTAGAGCGATGCTTGTATGTACCTCAGGACACCCTACGTGTACAGAGTGGATATTTTACCCCCCTTGCTTATTAAGTCAAGTCTCAGTGTCTGGTGGAAAGGGAAGGTCTGTCTGACAGAGCACCGGGAGGGGAAGGAAGCACATCCAAAACAGGGAGGGAGATGATTTGCATGGAGTAACCTCTTTGAAAGAAAGCAGGTTGTGGACTTGACTTGGAGTCGCTGTGGGAGAACAGATATTTTTGTTCACAATCAGCTGAAAAAGAGAACGAGCTTTGAGGCAATAGACCATTTGCTCTCTGGGTTTTGGTTGGGTCTTTTAGGCCCCGTCAGGGCAGCCAGAGCCTCGTGCCCACTTGGGATGCTCTAGCTGCTGTTTGTGCTGCCTCTGTCACCGGCCTTGGGCACCAACACCACTTCTCATGGCTCCTTTCTGCATCTCCGATGGGGGGAAAAGCAAAGGCAACAGCCATTCTCCATCTCCACCTGGAGAAACCTCTTGTAGGGTTTTCTTGCATCGTCCCAGGCAACCCCTTCCCTCTTGAGGCATTATCTGAAGCCACATCGATTCCCTAATCCCCTGATTTCAGCTGAAATTACACTACTGTGAGGCATCATTATCATCCAGGCTCTGATGCCTGCATCAGGGCATCGGCCCCCGCCGTGCTGGGTGCTGCACAGGCATAGCAGGAGAGCACAGCAGCTGCAGCAACACCTTGAATCGCTAATGCTGATGCTGTGGTCATTTCCTCCAGGATGTGCAGCTCATGTTATGCACTTTATCTATGTGATGAAGTGATTTTTTTAGAGGGATTTTACCTATCTGAGCCTGGGCTGTGGGATTAGGTTCATCAGCGGGTGAGATATGTTGAGGTTCATGTTTACTTCTTTATTTATGGGAGTTTGGTTGGGATTTTTTTGCTGTTTATTTTTAAACAGAGGAAAAACAGTCTCTCCCTGTTCTCTAACTAACTAAATAAACACAGCCCACCCCACTTTTGAACATCAGTGAAATCCATATCTGCAGTGACTCAGATGGTTTTCTTAATAACAGAGATCTCGGTGTAGCCTGATTCTGTCCTTCAGATGGAAGACTTTAATCCTGAGTCTTATTTTTCACAGCATTCAGCTACTGGTTTTTGAGCAACAAATTACATCCATGCCTCCAAGCCAAACAAGGAGTGAAAATTTCTATTTAAAAAAATGTGGAAATAATACTGTCTATCTACCTACAGTACAATTCCATTTTTAAAGTGCTTTGATATTTTTAACAATATTAATATAATAACAGCAGCATGTGCCTATTGGATTAGTCTGTATTTTATAACTTGGTATCCAATTTCTCCCTTGTTTCCTGCAGGACTGTCACTATTAATTTCTACTCCCATTTTTTCCGTCAGTGTGAACATTGTCATTGGACTATTGTTTGTAAGTGATAAGCAGCCCCTCATATTATTATTATTTCACTCCTGCTTGTTGAGCATCAACAAATATACCAAAAATATTAAAAATTTGGTGGAAGTTTTAACTCTCTCTTTGCCAGATGTTCCCCCTTTCTTCAGCTCAAAGGAACATACTTGCTGCTATATTATCCAAGAATAAAAAAATAGTAGGAAACTAGTAGAAAGGCAATCTGTCACAGGGAAAAAAAAAATACCTCAGGGGGTAAAGAATGCCTTCACAGTATGGCTTTAAGGTTTTAATTTATATTGGTCCTGACTCATGACACAGCCAGAGCAAGCCTGGGCCTGGGAGTCAGGTCTCCCACTGACCCTTGCATAGACTGGTGGGGAGAGAGATGTCAGCTGAAAACTCCCAGGGATCACGGGGCTGCCAAGCGCTTTGAAAATGACTGCCAATTTGGCCTAGTCTCAGCTGAACACATGCCCAAGAGGGAGGGAATGCCAGTAATAAAGCAGTTTAGAGGGGAAGGATATTTCTTTGGAGCTCCCAAACCTTCCCAGCCTTTTTGTGTGACGATATTGTTTGTGTACACGCAGCTCTCACAGGCACATACCTGCATGCACACGTGTGTGCACTCACTTCCAAAAACACAGGCTGCAAAGTAATGCATGAGGTTGATACCTTCTTCTGTGTTCACTCTGCAGTCAACCTATCCCTCTTTAATTTCAGAAGATAGCAACAATTCCAAACCAAATTCAAGCCCATACAGACATTTATGGAGCAGAACAGGTGAATTCCAGAGACACTAGGAAACTCCTTCCTGTTAAATTAAGGTAAAACAAAATTCTGATTTTTCAGTGATGGGAGACAGTGTAAAACTGCAAAAAGATATAACTTTCTTGATAAGTTGTATCGTTGTGGACAAGTTTCTCCAAATTCGGATAATAAGTGAAAGTAAAGATTTCCAGTCTTGTTTTTTCACTCTTGCCTGTAAAAAAGTACTGTGCAGATGCTGTGCTTCTGTTAATATGAGTTGTAAAAGAAACCCAATTTTAAACTTCAAATTGCTTTTTCTTCTGTTTTATTATACTCCATTATTATGTTTCAAGGTTAAGAAAGGGGGGGCAAAAAAAGCTTTGTTGCGTCGACTCAAATATGAATGACTGCAGTTCATTCAAGCTTTTTCTTCTTTTACTCAGCTAAATAGTGTCACTGGAGTAAATGATATTGCTCATTTGAGTAAAGGCTGCAAGATGAGGCCTAATATGAAGGTGTGGGAAAGTGAATAGGAGGAAGAGTGGGGGGGAGAAAAACACCAGCTGTATTATTCATTTCCCAGAGCAGTGCATGAAGTGTGCCAGAAGTAAGAACTATTTGGTGCATGTAACATGACAATTAAGAATACCTAAATGAAAAAAAAAAAAACAACAAACAAAGCACTGCTTGGCAAGCACATTCATCTGCTGCAGCATCTGCCTCCAATATGCTTTATACTTGCATAGATACATTTGGGAACTGAAAGGTAACAAGAATTTATCAAAGGATTAGCAAGCACTGATGCTGCCATTCACAACTACTACAAATATAAATTGTCATAATCATATTATCCTTTCCTTAGTTTAATTTTTACCAGGATGTATTTTGTCTGAAATGCCAAAATGTAATCTGGAATTGGATGGATGCTGACACAGCTGAAATATTTTGCATTAGTCACCATGTAAAATGTTTCCAGAAGTATATTTTTTGTATATGTGACTGTACTCAAATAGAGGCTTAACAAAGATTTAGAAGATGACAATATCTCCACTACTTCTTTCATTCAATTAAAAAGTTACAGTTTTTCATTGGAAGGTTTTTTGAAAAGTTCTGGTAAGGAGGATGGCATCAGTGTAAGATACTCACAACCTACACAACAGTCCCCCAGCTACAGTGTGTATATGTAGAGGTAGTTTCAAAGGTGTATTCAAACAGGCATAGAGCAGAGTGGTATCCAGTGAGAAGCAAATCTGTGGTTGTTTCAGTGAAACATGTTTATATTTAAGGAGTTTTGCAGTTACATGTCCCTCATACAGTGAAGTCTTTCTACAAATCCACATCTTGCAGATCTTCACATTTCAGAGCTGGAAGTATTTGTGATGGCATGTCCAAAGGCTTGTGTTTGTCACTGTTTTGAGCCCCAGAGGGGCTGAGAATTAGTTATCTGCCACAAGGAGTCAACACATAGCAACTCTGCTATGCCAAATGCCAGAGCAGGTCAGTGAGACACCTGGGCTCTCCTGGTAGCACTTCTGCTGCTGCTGAGTGCCTGGATCTGTTTGCAGAGCTTGTCATTCAGTCTTAAAGTATATGCCACATGTGTATGCTGTGGTCTTAAAAACCTTATAGGTCATGTTCTGGTTTTCTTTATATGGTTGTACAGTGGAAAAATAGGAAATGGATAAGTGCAAAAACTAACCTTGGTTAGATGATTATCTCAGATGAGGTTAAGCACCATCTGTGAGTTGAATAGGATATTTAATCCAGAGTTTTGAAGTCCACAGGTCTGGGAAGCAGAGCCTTTTGTACACCAGTGATGGGAGAAGGATCTGCTAAATGAAGGGAGAAAGGATTTACACATATGAAATCATTGATCACGTATTTGTGTGCACATGATTTTTTTTCTAGACAACCTCGGATGAAAAACCTTTTGATGTGAACCACAGCGATACTGGGGATGGGACTAAGAGAATTTTGGTGCCTGTTTCCTGAATTATAGCTGGGATGCATGGTATGCTCCCCTTGAGCATATCATTGGGTTATGGCTGCTGGACAGACTTTTCCCTCTTCTCTCCTACTTCGTTCAGACGTAGGACTGTGTTTGCTGTTCTTGAGTCCCTCTAGACTATTCCTGAAATATCAAGTAAAATTTATCAGAGTCAATATACAGTTGTATGTGGATTTTCTCTGTAGAGAATTCTTGGTAGCCACTACAAGTAGAGTTTCATTTTAGAGCATGAACAGCAAGAAGTTTCCCAGAGGCCAATAAAATTGATACCACAAGCTGATTTCTTCCCCTCCTACATGTTTATTTCACCTTTCAACAATATTCTGTCCCAAAAGGAAATGTAGGGCACAGCTGTTAACTCATTTTCTTTGTAAACACAAAGCATTAACCAGTCATGAGGCATTTCTCTGACTCTGTATCACTGGTGCATCCTTGGGAAGCAGTGTCAATGAGCAGATGAGCATGTGGTGCCTATAACCCTGACTCAGTTTCCCAGATGTGTGGCTCCTAGCTCCTTTTGGGACTGAACCCTAAAAACCAGGAGCTTTGGTCTTGCTCTGAGCTGTGTAGGCTCTGTAGGCTCCTTGGTGAACTTCAGCAGGGTGGTGTGTGCCTGAATTCTTTGTTGGATGGGCATTGTGAAATACTAAGGGCCATAACTGATGGGCTTTCAAACAGAGGCTGGTCCTCAAACCCCTCTAAACCAAATACTTTTACATTATTTTCTTCTTGTATTTCTCTGCAATTTTTTGGCTATTTCTTCCTTCATATCTGAAACCCACATAGTGTAAAAAATATCTCTTTGCTGGTTTCTAGGAATCTGAGATGCTTTTGCTTGATGGAAAGACAAAATGTAACTCTGAAAAGACTTGGCATTTTGGGAATGGTATTTAAGGCAATGGGAACCGTGTTGGAGATTTCTGTTTCACTTTGTGAATTTAGTACAACCCAAACTCAATTCTACATAATGCATAAAGCTCAGGGTATCTGTCTTCCCCTGTAGACAGCAACACAATAACATAAGAAGAAAAAAACCTACCCAAGACAAACCCCTATTTGATATCTCGCTTCTATTAAAGTGAAATACTGTAATAGAAATCAACACAGCTCTGGATCTGGCATTAGTTTTTCCTCTTTAACAAAGATCATCCTGAAGTTTGGACAACAGAAATGTTTTACAACTGTGGCTTTTCCATGTCAGGAACACACATCAATTCCTTTATATTGCTTTACCTTGAATGCAAAGTTTTGTGAATTAGGTTTGGGCCTTCATCCAAGAGACTCCAGGTCAAATCTGTCTTTGCTATGGCTTGATTTACTTCATTTTGCATGCACTAGAGAAAGTTTAAACCCCAGGTGGCGAAGTACTAAAGTATGAAACGCTGAAACAGAATCTGGTATGAGGAAAACAAATGGATGTTCTGCTGCCCTTTACTCACTGGGACTTTTTAGTGAAGGTAAGAAGCCATAGTTTAGCTCAATCTGCATGATAAATCACGTGTGTTTGATGAACATGCTACTTTTAATTGTATGTCTTGCAGTGTTAGTAAGTTATCTTACACGGACAGGTAGTGCCTGCCAAGTGGAGTTGGTTTCTTGGAAGGAGAACAAAAGACGAATAAGAAGAAATGAAAACAAAGTTTACCTGCTTTCTAATTTTTTTCAGTAACAGTAATGTGCTGGATGTTTTCCAAACATACAGAAAGCACAGTTGTGTCCACATGAGTTCACAACATCCAGACAATGAGCTGGGGAGAGAAGTACAATAATACTAAAGGTACAACGTGACAGCCAGAAGTCTGAGATGGGGTATTTTAGACACATTAGTGTTTGTCACATTAGTGAGCAGGAAAAAGAAGTCCAGTGAATGAGCAATAGTGATTCTCTGATGTAGTAAATAGAAGGGAGAGAAAGGAAATGAAAGGGAAAAAGAAAGGAGAGGAAAGGAAAAGGAAAAGGGAAAGGAAAGGAAAGGAAAAAGGAAAGGAAAGGAAAGGAGAATTTTAGGTATATTATATATATGTATATACCTATTGCATTTACAGATTACTTACATAGTGTGTGTTCAGGTGATACAACAGATAGGGGGCTTTGAAGTAATACAGACTTGTAGAAAGACTGTCTGATAGAGGTAAATGGGAAAAAGGTGGAAAGGCATAAGGCATAAGACCTTATTCTCCAGGCCTCATCTGGTGTCTCATTTGCTGCTTCTAACACCACCGAAAGACCTCTGAGCACCATTATGCTGTTATTAATAATGGCTGTGTCATGATTTCTGCTCAGCAGTAACAGCCTTAGGCAGTGCCTGCTCAGTGATCTGTGTGCAGTCACTCTCCACCTCCCGGGATGCCAACAACAGGACGTTCTCAGCTCCTCTTGTAGCACTTCTTGTTTCATTTGTTCCCTTGTCCAGACCTCTGATCACTCGCACCAAGGTCTTCTCTTATCCTGATACTGAAGTTCTTGAATTTATTTCCATGCTGTTGCCTTTCCCCCGGGCTCTTTTTTCAGTAGGACCAGTGTATGTTGTGGGCAGACATCAAACTTCATAAAGAGAGATCAGAACTGCACCACAACCCGATGTCTTTGTAGCAGGAAAGACATGGTTGTGGTTAGACAAAAATGTCTAGTGGCAGGTCTCGGGCAGGGATGAGGAAAATGGACCTCCTGTGTGCCCAACAAAACCTGTGGCTTGCCCTGCAACCCAGAGGACTCGTTTCTAGTGAAAAATTAATAGTTTTCCAAAATAAAATTCCTTTCTGTAATATAATATGTGATGTTATGAATAAAACAAGAAAGACAAAGACTTTGACAAAATAAGCTGTAGAAATTTTCAGGAACTTTTCCTAATTGCTGCAGTGATTTAATTTATTGAAGAGGAATGTGGGTTTTTGAGCGATCAAAGCCAACTTTCAACAATACCAAATAGGATGGAAAGGTGGATTTCAGTCAGTAATTAGTAGCAACGTTTTCTGTGTGTGACAGTTTCCTGAGGAAAATCCAGAATGTTTTTCCTCAGTGTTTGATTGTTAGGTGGTGCACTGATGAGCAGAGGAATGAATGAAGCACTTCTCATTGCTTTTTTGTCAGTTAGGAACAGCAGTTGCAGAAGAGAATACTCATTTCTTTTACCATATTTATCACCTTAGTATCCAAGTACCCTCCAGTAGTACATTAAGCATGACTAACATCTGTTCTGTGTTTGTTTTCTCACCTCCTCTCCAAAGGGAATGTATATAAAGTGAACTGTTCTGGTTTGTTTTGATATATATGTTACACTGCTAAATGTTTATGTCAGAAGACTAAGTCAAAAAAATCCTTTCTGAACTTAGAGCACTGGCTCTGTATAAAGCTATCTCTAAGTTATGGGGTTTTTTTCTTGTTCATGCACTCAGAATGGCCAGAGGCAGTTATACTGGGTATTCAGTTGGACTTTTTACAGGGGAAATAGTGGTGAAGAGAAAAACATTTTTATTATTTCAAAAATGAAGTATGATAACTTGATCAAAACCACATTTTGCACCACTGACATCATGTCTTTCCATCTTCAATGATATAGGTCACCAGTGACCCCAATGATCTATTAAAATGATGTACCTAAGAAAGATATTTGAAAGCCAAATGTATCGGTGGCAATGTGCAACCAATCTGTCAGTGCAGTGGTGATGTAACTTGGCATTATCCCCTATCAATGAGCTCCAGAAACATATCTGGTACTTGAGTCTTTGGGGAAAGATCAATATGGTCAGCCCACATATCAGCTAGGAACATTTAGATGAAGCAATAAAGAGAGTAATAGAAAGATATTTTGCACATATGATGAAAAAGGTGGTGCCATTGATCCCTTGGAGAGTATAAAAAGGGTCATTGTAGAAATGAGATGCTGAATCAGCCCAAAAGAACTATCACTTACATTAATATTGAATTGTATGAGGATGGGAGTTTTGAATAGCAGTAAAAGGACAGGACAGTTGCATGTTTGTCCTTAAGTAGTAGACATTGCTGCAAAATGATCAGTTAGGGAGTAGGATTGTTAGACTTGTCTGACAATTGTATTTATGTGTTCAATATTTGTGACAGTTTTTAATCAGAGACTGGGCGTAGAGAGTGTGAGTATGGCTACATTTGTGCAGTTATCCTTCCTGAATTTATCTAGTAATGAGTACCTCCCAAACCAGCCATCCTGTTGGCTGTGGTCCCTCACTGTCCTGTTTCCATAGTTAACACTTTATAAAAAGGTTTTCAGTGTTGCTTGTTCTCAGTATGTATCTTTGCCTAGGCTGTGCAGCAGTTTTGTTGTGTTAGATTCTAGCTGACTACCCACCTTAAATCATATAATTAATGATGTTTTATACTGTTGGTAGTCCTGTGCCTCTGTAATTCTAGAAAACAACCTTTTCAGTGTGATGAATGGAAACTTATTGAACAGGACCACCTCTGTATCCACTCTTCAGGTTAGCAAAGCAATAAATGCTAACCAGCGCAGCCACATGTCAGCCTGGGCAGAAACATCCTTCCAGCCTCTACATATTTGGACAGAACTGTCAGTTCTTACTATGGAGTATGGATTGGCAGCATCTCAGCTGTAAAGCACACATTGGGAATCAACATTTGGGGAAGTGTGTGTCTTCTGTGCACAACAGTAAAAATTTTGCAACCCTAACATTTACGCTTAATAAAAGATAATCTCTTCCAACACTGCCTAGTAGGAGGAATGCAAATCCTCTCTGGTGTCATACAGCTACAAGCAGAAGAGTTTCCCCACGACTCAGAGAGAAGCCTGCCATATCAATGTCTGCCTAGCAACTGAAAGGTGACACGTGGAGCCTCCTTTTCAACTCATTTCCTCTTGATGAGAGGAAGGGATCCTCCTGCGAGTTATTACCTGAAATAATACCATATGGTAAAATGTAAACAACATCTGCATATTCATGTAATAATTTCATCTGTTTAATTAGTTCCAGCAAAGCAGTTTACCCTCTGAGGCCCTTGCTGTCAGCTCCACGCTCATACATCCATGCCCTGCTGTCGAGCCTGACAGCCGTCTATTGTTCATTCACTGCTTCCACCTCGCCACTTAATGTAAGTGAATCTTCTGAGGGGTGGAAAGCCTGTCCCCATTGATCCAGATGTAAGGGCTGGGGGGAGAGAGAGTAAATATCTGTCAGCCTGGAATATGGATACTAACAGCAAACTTGACAGATCAGGTGGCTTTGTGGTTTTTTTGGGGAGGGAGTGGGGGCAGGTTGACTCTTAGTTTAAGTGCTGATCAGGACTGCAGGCTTGACTTTGTGCAGTTGTTCAGCCTTTGCTCTCAGGACAAGGCTATGAGCTTCCAAATCAGGCGAATTCAGCAGTGGAATAGCAGCCCAGCTTTTACAGTCAGCTGCGTTTCGGTGCCAAAGTAATGACAGCATGCCTACTGGTGCAGCAAAACACAGGGCCCTAGAGGGCTGTATGGATTGGCCAAACAGGTTTTCGGAAATGCATGTCAACAAACACTGCTCAGGACAAACTGAGAATGTAAAAGCGTTAAGTCTAACTGGAAAGGTCCCTGGAATATATTTCTAGAGTCTCCTGGCTCATGTAAATAAATTATACTGTGGGTCACATGTAACAATAAGCTGTTCAACTCACCTTTGAAAGGAAACATTTACATTATGGGAATATAAACACTCCATGGTAATATTACACCTAAGTAGATGAAAGTACTGCAGTTCTATGTGGTAAAGTCAATATCATAATAAGGTAATAATAATAATACTTACTACTTATATGGCCTTTTACAGATTTGAGCAAACATTAACAGATTAGTCCTCAGAGCACCCCAAGGGAAATAGGTAAGTAAGAATTATTGCCTTGTTGTAAAAATAATCCGTATCTTATCACATGCCCATCACCATGGTATCTACACAAACAACCCATCTGGCAGACAGGATTCTTTCCTTTGCCTTGTGATGCACTGAGGTGAGATTGCAAGGTGTGAGCTCAGCTAGAGTGATGTATCTTATGCTTTGTTTTAATGATGATCATATCTATATTAATAATATTATCCTTTTCAGAGGACTTATGTCCAGTGGTCAGGAAGGACAGATGTCCCACAGCATTCGGGATCTCTCCTCATGGAAATGGCCAGCCCTGCTGTCACTGAACGGCCTGTCAGGGAAGGGAGATGTGTCTGACATATTCAGAGTCCAGATACTAAAAGCAGAGAAAAACTGCAGTGTGCCTGGATACGTATCACTGCACTGGAATAGTTTGTCCTCTTTGTCCTGTGCTCACAAGAAATTCTTCATGTGCATCTTGGATCTTTGGGTCCTTTTTACAGTGCAGTGAACACTTCTGGCATAAGATATAGTGGTTAAGTAAGAGGTACTAATGTGTTCATCTGTATATTGAAAAAGGGGTGCTACTTGTTACCTGGAAGTGGTGAGAATAGGTCTTTCCTGCTTACAAAGGGAAAACTGGGAAGACCAGAAACCATCTGCATACTGCCAGCTGGAGTACTTCAGGTTTCTCTCTTAGCAGTTTAGGACAGTGTTATAATTATTCTTTTAATGCTCTTAATCTGAACCATAAAATAGCAGTTCACAATAGGCAGAAAAACAGGCACCTAAAGGTGAATTACGTTGCCAAAGTCCCCATGACAAGATAACATCAGAAAAGGGTCATAAAACATCCCCCTTGCAGAATTATCCATCGGGATAATTCTAACTTTTGTATAATGTTACCTTTGTTGTGGGCACACAGTACCCTCCTTCAATGAAATTGTAGCTTCCTCCTTAAGACTATTTCATGCAGTCAAAGCAATAAAATGAAATAACCTTCAGATCACAGAACTTAAAAAATATTACCTTTACAAAGCTAATGAGTAACTCTTCTAATTGTTGGCTTGCACATATTTTTAGAATGTTTTCATACACACTGTGGTATAAAAATGAATATCTGGAAGCTCTTAAAAAACTAATTTGTCATAAATTAAAACAGTAATTTAATAACAACAGTAAAATGACACTGAATTAGTAATGAACTTTGCAAAATAATATTGAATACAAGAAATAATTAATAACGCGTTCATGGCAGGTTCATCAGTCTAATAATGAGAGTTTCTTTTTGCCTGGAAAGAATGAATGATTATTACCCATGAAATGGGTATGTTGTGCTTCCCCATCACTATGAACCCACATCTATATGAAAAAAACTTTCAGGTTTGAGAAGTTCTTCTTGTCTTGGTGTCCATTTTATAAGGTTGTGTGCTGAAAAAGACAGGAATTATGGAATGGGAAGTGGATATAATATCAGTTTAATTTGAGTAGTGTTGACTAGCATTAAACTATTCACACTGTTTTAACTGCCATTAGTCATCAGTTCATAAGAAATAATTTTATATGATGAAAAACAAAGTAATCTGAATTTGATTTTTAGGCTTGCAGACTTCTGACATCCTATGTGACATTATTTCAGTCAACCATTCTGGACTATTTTTTCTCTGACCATAATGTTTTTTCTCTATCTCATTGTCACACTGAAATGATAACTATTCTAGGCAAGTCTATGAAGAAATAAAGCCCTGTACTGAATTTGAAATAATGATCTGTGAGTTATATATCTATTAATGTAAAGTACTAGGTAGTCCAGTCATTTATGGGTATTACCTATGATGTTATGAGTTAAATTACAGTGGGACTCTAACATTATGCTACATACCTCATAAATAGTTGTATTATTCCAGTACTAACCTAAAAATCTCTCAAGTCAGTCTAAATTATAGCACAGGTAGTTGTATATTCTTGCACATTTCAACAAAACTATGTTTCATTAGTATTCTGGAAAGAAACCCTAAAACTAATGGATCTCATCCTCCTTTCTGCTCTTTTAAGTGCAATAAAATTGTTCTTTGCCATTTTTTTCTCCATTAAATAACTTACGTGAAGCAATTTCAGGGAGGCCTTAAAATGCTTTCTAAATTAGATGAAAGAAAAGTCCATCATTTTTTAAGTCTATAATTGTTACAGTGTTTTTATGCACAGATCCAAAATAGTTTCTAATGGACATTTTAGAGTAGGAAAGATGATGGTGTTTTAGTGAGGCAACATTGCTGACCATGGCAGGGTTAATTTATCAAAATAATTTTAAAAGTAGTCGCTTAAAGAGTGTAGCTTCACAAATTTTGTGTCGCCGGAAGTTTTTTTTAACAGGTTAATTGCAAAACTAAGTGCATCCAGAACGCTTTTGCTATTTTTATTTTTAATAAGGAAGTTAAGTTATCTGGGTTATGTTCCCAAAACAGAAGCCTTAATGACCTTTATTCTATATTTCTTTTCATAGATTATTGCGATAAGGAAACCCTCGTGTCGCGACCCACTGGCGTCTGGCTAATCCGATGGTATTCGTCGCCGCATTGTCCGTGATCAATAACTAATTATCAAAGTGGCATTTCTTTTCAAGAGCTCCTTGTTAAAAAATGGCTTTTGGCTGAGAGTGGAGGAAAAAGGTCGCCACTTTGACATCGTTGCGAGTCTTTCAAAATCCAGTGGGCCGTCCGATTGAATTACTGTCCCAAACTAATTGATATAAATTTGAACAGAAGAATGCTTGTTACTACAGAATGTCATAATGATATCCTTGGCAAGAGCATGTCAGTGGGAAAAAAAGGAGAAAAGACCAGCACTAGTCACAAAGCATCTAGACAAGTTGCAGCACAAGACTATTAACAAAATTAACAGCAACAAAATTGTACACCAGTTCCTTCTTCCCAGCCAGTCTGATCAGACGTTGGAGAAAGAAAAGCATTAACATTTCCTTTTGAACCTCATCCTTTCTTTGAAAACAGGCTTTAAAAATATCTACTGGAAATAATAATTGCAGTGTACAAGGGACTGAAACTTGATGATCAGTTGCAGAAGTCTCATTGACTCTACGGGGATCATGAGTGAGTATCCACTGGAATTCAGCTTTAGTCATAAGGCAGAATTTGGCACATAGTTTCCTTAGGAAAGGCTTTTAGGCAGCCTTAAAAACTGTGCCTTTGAAATATGGTAGCCTTCTCTAAAGAAAGTTGGGCTGTATGAGCTACATGCCAACTGGGAAAAATCCTCCAAACACTTAGGATACAGTAAGAGGAATCACAAAAAATGTGGTGAGAAGGGGAAAAAGATCTTGTAGTATTCATGCCTGAAATTTGATGTGTTGTCTTGCATGTCATTTGGAGATTATCTGCTCATTGGAAAGCTTGGAAACCTGAATTTTCACTACAAGGCACTGCACTTGTGGAGGTTCTGGCTTTTGGGTTTTTTTTCAGATCTCCCTGTCTTCTGCTCCATGTCCTACATTCAGTCCCTGAGCTGGGAATTGCTAGGGAGTGCAGGAAAAGATTACCCTCTAAAGGGTATGGCGTGCTCTGGAGAAGGGCTGTTGTAGAAGCCTTTTTTGGGGGCATAGCTGGGGTTAACTCAGCTGTGGCAGAAATTAATAAGCTGAATCTATTAGTTATCCAGTCATAAATGTTGTCAAGTAGTTGGCCAAAATGTGCCATTTTAGCCACATCCAGAGTAAGTCCTATGATTGCTGAGGAACAGAGGAGAGAAAGACATTTGTACCTAATTGGAAACAGTGGTTTGTGAGCTTTTTAATCCCTGATCTTGAAAGGCTCCAGCTGGGGTCTAGTAATGAATATCTTTCCTGCAAACTTACTGTTCTACATTTCCTAATGATAAAGCAAAGGTGACTAATGAATTGACACAGGGACTTTCATCTCTGCAGTAGATTTGGAGATTCCAATCAGACTGTATCAATCAGCAAGTTGAAGTTTTTAGTACCTGATGCCTTGTCTGTAGTAGTGTGAAACAAGTAGTCTCTGTGCAAGCCTTATGGACAAACCCCAGCGCCACCTCTGTGCAGTATTTTTGGCACAGCTTCAGCATAGGGACTCGGGAACAAATTCACTGGAGAGACCAAACAAATTTTGCTGGTGGCAGTCTCCTTCTTAGGAGTGCCTTGTGGCAGGTAACCATTTTGAAAACAGGTCAGTGATAGGTAAGTTAGATTTCATAGGAGTCTGACAGATTGTTGCTTGTGACAAGATATATTGTTTGGATATGACGACCATCAAGCCACATTTTCCTAGTATGTCAAGCCACAGAACAAAGTGGGAAACCACAGGGGTCTGAAGATTCAGCTTCACGGTGGTTCTGGTTGCAAAGGGGGAAATCTTTTCCTTACAAAGGATCTAAGGTAGTGAAGTTCACCACGTTCAGTTCTCACTCTGCCTTCCATATATGACTTTATTACTGTCCTCTTATGCTGGGGGCAGGAAATGCCTTGTGATGGCAAATAGCTGAGCCATCTCTGACAGACTTACATCATCACAGTCGCTAGGGAACCGTCTTCTTGTCTTCCATGGCTGCTTTAAAGACACTTTGTGAGGCTTTCTTCTTTAGCAGACCAGAGAATTCAGACTGAAAGCCTGTCGGGCGGGTCAACCAATGTCTAGGTCAACCAGTCTTGCCCCTTAATTATTCCCTCTGGCATCACATTCACAGGGTGATGGAAGTAGAGGCTAAATATAGGCCCTCTATATATAGGCTCTCTATATACTTGGAATATATGAAGCCACGTCTGTACTGTTATTATTGGAATATACGTTTGCATCATTGCATAATCTGGAGGAGGAGTTGTAATGTGTGTAATAAAACTGAAAAAAGGCTCCTACATATTTGTCAACTGGTTTCAGGTCCAACTGAAATTGTGACACTATCAGGACTGGCTTATGATGTCATTAAGCATTTTAGAATTTATAGCAACTCTAACAGGTAAGAGGAATTGCTCTGAAAGAATACAATTTCTGAGACTGATTCGATGTTGAATGGCTTCCTTACAAAAATTAGTGTCATACAAAAATCAATGTAGTCCCTACTGAACAGATTTAAAATTTGTTAGTTGATCTAAAAATCTGCTTCTAAATGAGAAATCATTATTCATTGGGGTATTTTTAATATAGTTAGACGTAGATCAGCATGTAGCCAAAAGTTAATATTTTGGAGAAAAGATAAACATCCAAGTAGAATTTACAGATGCTAATTTGTAAATAACAATGAAAATGGGTTAGTTATATAGTTTTGTAGAGATTGCATTGTATTATTGCAGCGAAATGTAAATGCAGGTTCATGCATCTAGGAACAGGAATGTAAATTACATTTATTAGCTTGGAGAAAGGAGAACTGGGAGAAAAGACTAATACTCATGATAGTTGTAATTGAACAGAAGAATTAGTACAGGAGGTTCTTGGATGTACAAGAAAGGGACCATTGAAAAAGAGTTAAGTCGCTTAAAAACCAAAACACAACAAAAGCATTTAAGAGAATTCTGAGGAGAGAGACAGGAATTATTTGAGATATTGAAAATACATTTCTTATTGGGAAACTTGGAGAATTTACTTAGTCTGCCCTGTGGAAGCCTAGAAGCTTGTTCACTCCTGATCTGCAAGACATTTCTAATAGCTGACAGAAAGGTTTTCCTGCAGCTTAAATCCTAAAATGATTAGAGCTATTAGAAGTTAAAAGAGAAAAGTTCAAATTTGAAATAAGGCAATACTTTCAATTTTTGATTGCTTACTGCAACACTATTAAGAGAAATGTGACAAAATATTCATGAACCATTTGAAATTTCCTTTATCCCTGATTCCATTCTCTCTTACTAGTCGCTGGTAATGTCTTAGGTAGTTGACTGACATTCTTTATTAATTTCGTAAGCTCTTCTACAAAAGTAAATAGTTACCTGAATTTTAATTATGTAGTAAAATGTGTAATTTTGAATCCAGCTAATTGTCCCAAAGTACTTAATTTATAAATAGCTCTGAATATCTCACACTTACTGCTTCCATTTACCACTTACTTCCTCTGTTTCTCTTCTTGCTGTTTCGAGCACAGCACCAGAGCAAGGGGCCATATGTAGCTAGATCAAAGCAGGAGCCTGTCCAGAAAGGAGTTGTGACTCATGAATCATAACTAATCCCTTGATTACCCTCAGATGGCACATTTTATTTCCTTTCTTGTATCTGGCCAGCTGTTGCTCCTACTGCTGATCCTGCTGGTATTTTACTGCTTTTATTGGCACTGCTGATGTCTTTTGGTAGTCATGTAGGAACTGAAACAGGGATCCAGGAGAGTAGTTGTGCTCCACCCAGAGCATTGATGGCTGAGTAGCTGCGGTGGAATTGGCAGGAATGTTTCCTTTCTTCCTCTCCAGAACTCTTAAATAGGCCTTGAAGTTTTATTGTGGCAGTTATCACTTTAATATCTGAACAGCTCCCAGGTTAACTGAGTGATGAGCGGGAATCTTATGGATGCTGGATGTTGGCTCCTGCTTAGGAGTCTGTGCTGGTAAAGGTTGAGAGACAGAGCTCAGCAGCCGTAATCTTCAGCAGCATTATGGTAGGAAAGACTTCTGAGTACTTCCAAATTCATGTTAACGTTGGTTTAAAATTATTTACAAACAATTAATTTGTCTGTGTACATGTATACTATCTATTTAAAGCTGTAATTTCCCTTTCTTTTCCAGTCCATAGCTGTGGTATCATGCGTAGTAAACCTGGCTTAAATTTATTATTTTCAATTTTAATACAGTGTTTGAAGAAAAACTGGCAACAAAACAGGCCCAGAAAAATAGTTTAAAGTAGTTATATATGCAAACAGACACCCAGCTATAGCTGTCTTAATCTGAAAATCTGTGAGGAAAATAACTATAGAAGTTGCTAATATTATGCACTCAAAAAAAGAATGGAGCTAGAACTAGCCATCTTTGTAAAACATTGAACAACAGTCTTGCAGATATTTCTGTACTACACACAGACACATACAGCTAAGTTGGTATTCTATTTTTTTTATCAAGCAGCAAACCAACTAAGAAAGCCCAGCACTTCATTTATGGACGTTATTGATCTAAAACTTGTTTTTCCACCTAAGCCAAAGTGACAAAAACTTCTCTAAAGTGAAACAAGTTCAAGCACTCTCAGCCTGTTTCCCATTAAACATCACAAGAACATTGCAATCTGACATTTATCTGGCAGCCTTAAATGTGAAAGACCAGTGTAGCTGGTACACAGAGAATGGAAAGGCCTCTTTGGCATCACTAGGGATGCTTTTACCAGGTTAGGGTCAGGTGGGATGACAGCAGAGTGGAAGGAGGTAGTCTCACTTCACTGCAGACTTGAACTATATTTGACCTCCAGGGTACCAGTGACTTAGTTGGAAATTGCAAGAACGCTGAGCTGCCCTTTATAGAATTATAATTCCTTGCCATTCAAACAAAAAAAAAAGCTAATTAAGTATCCCTTATCTGATGTAACCCTCATCCAAACAGAACCAGGGATCATCCTGTTGCCATTCTTAGAAAATGTAGCTGTCGGAAACAATGGTGTTGGTGGCTGCTATTTGAATGTAGACCTTAAAGAATCATGATTCCAAACTTCTTGGTGCCCTTTCCCTATCAATCAAAAAGAATCGTATGAAATAATTATTAGGCTACATAATTATTTTACAAAATAGAAGGTGTTTTTACTGCACATTTCCATTTTAGTACCAGTCATTACTTCCCTGAATACTAATAACAGCGTTAAGCATTAATAGCATGTTTTAAGGTAAAGGGTCAATAGTCTAAGACCTATGAAAGAACTCTGAGCATTTGCAATGTAAAAGAAACCTTTCACGGAAAAGTGTTAAATAATAAATGTATTTCTGGAGGAAATGTTATATTGTGCTCCATTTGGAGAGAAATGACAATTTATAGGACATCACTCAGCTGCCTCTGTATAAAATATCTTTAATAATGCTGTGGCTTCACACTTAATACAGAAGTTCACAGAAAGCTTACAGCTCTTTGAAGAGGTCAGTCTTATACTCAGTGAGGGGAAACTGAGGCACGTGATGACTCAGTGCACCAGTAAAAGCACAGGGATCTGAACTGGTGACTCAGTCCTCTGGGTGCAAGAAAATGGTGCCTTTTCTGTATTTCCAACTAGTAAGCCATCTTCTAATAGTTCTTTTAAAAGTATAATACGCACACAGGGGATGGTGAACTTATTCAGAAAAGGTAAAGGTACTTGAAACTTTTTTTTTCAGGCTGGTTTAAGCTGCACAATTTGAGGAGTGTGGACGGAAGAGTTAGAAATACTTGGTATGGATTTGAATTTCTTTGTTATGCCTTCATATGTGTATTGACAGATGACCAGAGGAACTGAAGCCTCAAGAAAGGGGCAACTCAAGTCCAAAATCTCCTTGCCCTATTGAAGTCAATGAACAGACTCTTCATCAAGCAATCATCTCCTTTCTGTGGCATTATAAGCACCCCAGTTTCTTCCTTTTCAGGTTTACTCTGGTTGTTTTAAAGGAATAAATGGGGTGTGAATATTTGTGAAGATCCCAATAAGCTATCATTTTTCTTCATTAACTTTTTCTCTTCTTGTCCTGCAGGTATTTCCCTCTGAGAAGATGGAAATACCTGTGGCCATTTTGGATTCATAATCCTGAAGCATTTTTTAAACTAAATATCCAAGCCCTATTTTACAAACACTAGTAAGGATTCACTCATATGAACAGACTGAAGGAAGAACCACAACTTCTTATTTGTTATTATTAATATTATTATTAATATTATTCTTATTTACTGATCTGTGAATAGTTGCTGAGGAAATGGGTACTGTGAGTTCAGTTGTAGGGGATCCAGATGAGCCAGAGAGGTAATAATGAGGTGGTTGTCATGTGGATGCCCAATACTGAGAACACTCCCTTCAAAAAGGTAAAATATCTTAAGCTTAGATTTCCACTTGAAAAAATTATTATTTATTTAATGAAAGCTCTGTGTAAAGTATGCCCTATCTAAATCTCAAATCTGTGCCCAAATCTGAGTTTCCCAAGTTTCTATGTCTTTTTAATGCCTAACCAATCAAAACATACCTTTGCAGAACACATGAAACCAATCAATACTCCTCCAGCGGAACAAATTCTTTTCCCAGCAACCACAATGAATAAACAAGTTTCAAGTGACATCGAGACTACTTGGGATTCTTTCTGATTCAGGTTAGTCCTACAGGTCTGCTCATGTTTTCCTTGAGCTCCCACGTGAGTCAAGTATTACCTGCCACCAGTTGTCAGCAGATTGCCAAAAGTTACTCTCTCCCATTGCTGAATGGAGTTGAGTTGCTTTCTGGGAAGAAGCTCCAACAGCAAATATGACACAGAGTCTGAGTGGAAGGTTGTGTCTCTCAAAGTTGTCCTGTGTTCCACTGCCATGGAGTTTTTTGGTGCATCCATAACCAGAACTTATGAAACAATGCTAGTAAGATAATAGAGCTTGTGCCTGTTCTTCTGGTCATTAACAACAATTATTTTATAATGCTATAGAACACATATCTGACTGTTAAAGAGTTAAAGAAAAAAATGAATCCTGTAAAAAATCAGGCCATCGTATAATGCCTCCTCATTGCTATAATGATATCAGTTGCAACAAGTCCAATGGCTGACCTCATTACAAGGGTTTAATTGCATTGTTACACAGTTTCACTTCTTCTCTCTGGCCTCTTTCTCTTTATGACAGCTTTAGAAAGGAATTTCAGCTTGAGGTCAAAGGAAATTAATTACTGCTTTCTTAATCTGTGCTCATCTACATTTAGAAAACTTGGGGCTTTTCACTAACATATTTGTGTCTCATTTCTGTGTAGACCCAAAGTTATAAGACTTTTGTCCTTTGTCAAAGTGCATAAATAGCCTTTTTCATATCTGAGGCCAGATTTTTTTCATGTCATTTACAGTTGTGCACATATGGACTGATGCCAGTGGAACCAATGGAATGTCTCTGGATATACATTCACTGTGACTGAGGTAAGGCACTTGCAATGTATCTTTAATTCAGATTAAAGATTTATGGCAGATTCCAGGTGTTAAAAAACCCAGTAACAACAAAACCAACCCAAGAAGAAAGGAAAACCCAATCAAATAAGAAGTTTACACTTAGGATAAAAGTCAGAAAGATGACCTCCAAAATTAAGTAGATACTTATGTAGAGAGAAAGATGAAAAAATATGTCTCTTTGACAACAGATTTTGCCTGCTACCTACCTCATATTTTCACTAAATACATCATTGCTTAGTTAAGGAGTATCCACCTTATGTTTCAAAGCACTTGCAATCCAAATAACACAGTGTTGGCATCAGAACAGTGAGGAAGGTGACAGAGACACCATAACAATAATTCTTGGTTGGAAGGCAAAAGCATGTGCAAAACGTGCTTAAATGCTTTTATAGCATGAAATATAAAATGAAAACTCATAAATTAGGGCCCCAGTCCTAGTCATTAGGTCTTTTGAATTGATCCTTGCCTCTTCCACGAATGCTGACTGGTTTCAAGAAGAACCAAACTTCTCCCAAAGAAGGAAATGTTAGTTTGCTTCTTGAGGGAAAAAGTTTGGAAGGGAAATTACAATGAGACATGTCTCTGGGATGACTTGACAAATTAATGTGAGAGGATATGCCATGCACCAAGGAAAATCTGAACAAGTATTACCACCATGCAACCATGATCTTGTAGTTTATAAGAAATTGTTATGTGCTAGGCATGTGTAAAACTACAATACAAGAAATACAGTTTTCTGCAGAAAATATACATGTATTTCTTACATGTACTTTGTGATTCTGATTTATAGCCATGGAAACATTGACAGAGATGAAAAATTGCTAAGTTTTGAGCCCTCTGACATAGAACATTTAAAGTTTCACAAATCTATTCACTATCCTTTGATCAGCTTTGCCACCCACTGAAATTTCTGCTACCAGAACTGTGTGCTTTTTTTAGTTTATTAGTTGCTGCTTCAATCTCCCCTTTCAAGCAGTAAGATTTGCAATAACAAAACTGCAGCTGCAAAGCAAAGCCAACTTGTTGAATTTTGCCCTTCATCTATCTTGACTGAAATTCAACTCAGTTATAAACATCTGCAGGAGGAGCAAGGTTTCATGTAAGTCACTGGTAAGCTCTTAACATGGGACCTGCTTGAATTAGAGTGAGGTTCATTCTCATGATTGCCCAGTTTTTAAAACAGCCTGTGTAAACCTTGTGGTGTTGCCAGAAAGCTTTATGGGGTGGAAGTTGAAAATTTCAAGCCAACCATCCGCAGCCATGTGTATGATTGTGTTATCCACAATGGTGGTTGGAGCAGTGTGACAGGAGCCAGGACGTGTTGGGAAACAGGGTGAGTTTGAACTTACCCATAGTACTCTAGACCTCCCTCCAGGCCTACACCTTATTTCAGATTTTTCTTTAATAGTTGTGCTTCTAAGGCAAGCTTGGACTTAAGCATGAGTTTTGACCTAAACAGAAGAAACAATCAATGTATAGATGTGAAGTTCACCAAGACCAAGTAGCTATGCTGAAAAGAGGTCCTGAACAAGCTTAAATTCTCTACAGCCATAGAGAGGTGTAATACTGCAGGTAGAATGTGTTTGAACTAAACTGAGTACCTTGGATAACAATAGTAGTGAAGTAACAGTAACTTCAGTATGCAGTAGCTACTCAGGTGAACAGTCAAGGTTTCATGGGCTTGTACTCAGTCTTTCGTAAAGTATCCATTGAGAGTACGTTGGTGTTGATACTTCAGGAACTTAGATCAAAGGTAGCTCTAATCATGCTCTAATCATATTTTTAATTTTTTAAAATTAAAAAGGGGGGCCCTCCCCCCCCTTGGAGGGCCTGGACCGAGTCACTGTGTAGTGGTGTTATCTGAACTATTTCACTCATTGGCACCAGAGTTTAGTGCATTAATCGTCCAAGAACAGTCACAGAACTATTTAGATTGGAAATGACCTTCAAGATAACCAAGTCCAGCTGTTGACCCAACACTTCAAAGTCCACTACATCTACATGTCAACTGGGACCTCCTCAGTTAGCCAGGACTGCTGGTAAATGATGGAAAGTGGCTCGGTGAGCACTTCCACCAGCTTCCTGGTACCCTTGGGTGGATCCCATCCAGACTCACAGACCTGTGTGTCCCAGTGGTGTAGCAGGTGACTGATCATTTCTCCTTGGATTACAGGGGGCTCATTCTACTCCCTGTCCCAGTCATCCAGCTCAAGGCACTGGGTACACAGAGAATATCTGGTCTTACTCTTAAAAGACTAAGGCAAAGAAGTCATTAAGTACCTCAGTCTTCTCCTAATCCTTTGTTGCTACGTTTTTCCCCTGCATCTGCTAAAGGATGAAGATTCTCTTTAGCCCTCTTTTTGTTGCCAGTGTATTTATAGAAGTATTTTTAAATTGTCTTTTACAGCAATAGTGAGACTAAGTTCTCACTGGGCTTTGGTCCTTCTAATTTTCCCTCTGTAAAACCTCACGACATCCTTGAATGTCACATCAAGGTGTGAACGGATTAAGTTGAAAGGCCCAGTTAACGCAGACACGGCACTGGTGACAGAATTAAGTGCTAATGATATATAACAAAATACTATTACATGAAATAGGATCTTTTTCATCCAGCTTTTTGATTCTGTCTGATAGAACTAGTAGAACAAAATGAAAAACTATTCATCAATCAGAAGTCTGTCTGGGTCAGGCACTTTGGTCAAGCAATGTGAGTAATTCCACCTACCTGCACTATAATTTATTGCAAAATTAATGCCATAACATGCTAAGCCATTGTTTGATAAAGGTAATTCTTAACCTCAGGAAAAAAAGCAAAATTTGTTTCTGTCTTTCTCTCTCTCTCTTTTTTTTTTTCCCATCCTGACAAGATGAAACCATTATACTAAGTGGGGATTTCATGATGGTTCACTTCTAATGCTTGAAAAAAGGACCTTGAGCAGGGTTTGATTGACTTTCTAAATCACTGACTAAGCCAAGTTACACTAAAAAAGGGGACAAAAAATCACAAGGTATTAATTTTTGTTAAAGTTTACCTGCTTCATTACAACAGAATGAAATCAAGTCTTAGTGGGAAGAATAAGTTTTGATATATGTTACTTTCTATTAGAGTTTTCAGGACAGCTTATTCTTAACCAGACTAAAATACAATAATTCACCAATTCAAAGTCTTAATTGCACTGTTATGACGTAGGGAGACTAATGGCATATTCTTATTTTTAAAATCTGTAAAATTATAGTTTGTTATAAAACAGGTCACTTATGTCTGGTATTTGATTGGCCTTGATTGCTTCAGAAAATTAAATTGTTACATTAGCTGTGAAGTAATTTGTAGTTTCTGAAGGTGTTCTAAGGTTTTCATTAAGTATCATACAGACATACAGGAGGGACCAGAAACTGAGTGGAAATTTAAAAATGACTCAGTGTGTCCAGAATTCATAGCAGATCTTCACAACCCTCTCTTGTGAACCTTATTATATCCATTTCTCAATGGGAGAAACTGAGCTGCACAGAAAGGGTCTTTCCTTTCCTAGAGACTCGTAGATATTCTTCCAGCTGCACCTTTTATTTATTCCTTCCAACATGCTGTTCTGGTGCTCGGTGTGTTCTGCAATGCAATGTGAAGAGGAGCAAAATCTTGTAAAACTCTAGGGAGCGAGAAAGGAAAGAGCATCTCTCACCTATCCGTTGCTCTCTCTCTTGGTGTGCCTCATGAATAGTTTGAAAGGTGTTGAAACAGATGAGATTATTTACCTGCTCTCTATTCCACCACTTCATTCCTCCATCTCTTTTTCATAGACACAGCGAAACCGATACAGCAGTTGAAGGTGAGATAACAGGAGGAGGTAGAGTTGTTTGCTGCAGAGGATTTACCCATGTTGTGTTACTGTTTCTTTGGGATTGCCTGAATGAGAATAGATTTAGGAGATGGGAGTCTCTGACTGGAATGAATCTGAATAGGAAGCAAAAAAACAAGGAGCAAGTGCTGTAACTGCAAAGCAGCTCCAGATGTGTTGCTGCACATCAAGGATTTCAGACACTATGGTAAAATAGAACTCTTATTTTGGTTTTCTCATTTATGTAAACTGATTTTAGGTGAAAAAGATGGACACTGCATACCAGGAGCTGTAATTGCCAGATGACTTTCCAGGATAAAAGGCAAAAAATGGATGATAACATGAAACTAATCAACTAGAAAATAATTTGTGATAGTTTTGCATTTCAGTGCAGGTGAGGCAACCATACACAGTAGTGATGTGGTTTATATCTAGAACAATATCTTAATAAAAAATATAAAATGGAAAAAAATATTGCAAGGATACTGGCATTGACAAGTCTTTCTTTCTTGTATTGTTTCTTTCGAAACTTACATTCAGGGGTTGCAGACTGTAATATCTGGTGACCTGCATAAACTTGTATAGCAGCTACTGTAGTGGTGTGATTCTATTATCTAGACTTCACATCTTACCTGCTGGGAACTTCCAAGAAATGATGTTATAGTACAAGTAATCCAGTTTTTCTTTTTGTTGTGGCTTTCCTATAAATGTGATTGTGGAGATCTTCAAGCGCACAATCTCCACCTGTGCGTGTGTATACATGGAATTGCACCTGAAATTGGGCACCTGCAAACACCTGCAGAACTAAGAATAGTCTTCATTTTATCTAACTAAGCCTTTATATCATCTAACACCCACATGCTGACCACCCTAAAAGTTTGCTGCCACAAAGCTCATCTGGAACTGTTTAAGAAGACACGAGCACAAGAATTTGATTTGCATCCCTGAACTTTGCAGAGTCCGAACAGAACTTTCAGCAACTGTATGTTAATAACCTTGTATGGTTAATACATTTCAGTGATTTAAAGGGCATGAGTGACACTCACCAGTTTTTGTCAGTGCAGTATCATGGTGCAGATCTTGCTGGTTTTTGTTGGTGGAGTATCCTGGTGTGGACCTCACCAATCTCTGTCACCA